CCCCCCCCTCCTCCGGCAGAATCATGCTGGCCAACCGCATCGGTAACGCTCTCTACTACGGCGTCTTCCGCCGCAACTCGGTACGCGCGCTTGAGCTCCCCCCCCCCCCCTCGCCCCCCGCCCCGGGCTGCGCGGCAGCTTCCCCTGGCTCCCCCTCCCTCCCCCCTTCGCACACAGCGCGACTGACCTGGTGGCTGGCCGCTGGTCCTGGTGTGTCCCGGCCCCCGCTCCCTCGCCCCTCTCCCTGCTAGACCTTCCTCCTGGCTGTCTTCGCCTCCGCCTGGGTCTTCGAGTCTGTCTTCGACAATGCCACCGCCTCTTTCATGAACCACTACAACAAGGGCGTGCGTTGCCTTTTCCCCGCCCCCATGCCTCCGGGTCGTCCGCCCCGCTGCTGTTGCTGACCGCCACATGCCCTGCCCTGCCGTGGGAATGCCTCGCGCGCTCCTACCATCGGGGACCACCCCCTCCCCGCCGACACAGCGCACCCTCCAGGAGGTCCTCCCCTCCTTCGTCGAGCAGGAGTAAGAGCCCCCTCAGGGCCTACCTCGCCTTCGCCCCGACCGCCCGGCAGGTTGTGTGCCTTCCCCCCCCCCCCCCTCCTTTCCTCCTGTCCCTCTTTTGCTTGCCACAGAGGACCCCCGGGCGGGTGGGGACCGGCCGGCCACCCTGTTGGCTTGCTGCCCTGCGGCTCTGGCACGCGCACACATGGCTGCCCTTCCCTTCCGTACATGGTGGTGGCCCTGCCTGTGCACTTTTCACACAGACACAATATATAGCCCATCTCATAGCAGGAGACACGCCCGCACACATGCGCGTGCAGAGCATCCCCCCCTGGAGCCGCACACGCACGTACACACACACACACACGCGCACTTGGCGTGGCCTGCCTGCCGCACTTCCAAGGCGCACCATCGAATGAACGAGACAGAGGGGGGTGTATTTTGCCGCACGCCGGCGAGGACGACGAGAAACAAAGGGCGAAGGGAGCAACATATACACACACACACACACACACACATGGGGTCGTCACTCTCGCCGAGGTGCGCCCGCGCGTGTGCGCCTAGATCCGGACGACATACGAGCTGGCGCGGGTGATGTTGCGGATCCAGGGCTTGATCTCGGTGTTGGTGTTGCTGTACGTGTGCCCCCGGCTGGGGACGGCGCTCAGCTTGCGGATGGAGAACCCGCTGGGCAGGTAGTCCGACACCTCGAAGCGCAGACTGGGGCCGCCGGACGGTCAAAGCCAGGAGGGGGGGGGGAGGAACGGGAACGCAGGGCGGCGAGTGGCGGTCAGAGAGCCATCATCATGCTCAAGAGGCGGACAGGGGGGGGGGGGGGGGGGGAAGCACACGCTCGCGAGCGCCGGGACACGCGCGACACCGCGCGTACATACCTGATGGGCCCGATGGCCCGGCGGATGGCCGGGGTCGGAGCCTCCGACAGGGTGAGCTGGGAAAGCCGCGCAAACACACATGGGTGTTGGGTTTCGATGTGAGCATCATCTATGCGTGGGTGCGCACGGGCGCACGCGCGCCGGGGCAGGGGGGGGGGGGGGGAGAGAGAGCACACGCACCTTCATCTTGATCTGGATCTCCGAGCCACCCCGGAGGCGGCCGACATTCCACTCGATCATCGAGGGGGACTGGTGGTGGACCACCACCGGCCGGGACTGGGAGCTCTCGGAGAACTGCGACGACACGGAGCGCGTGCAAGCCGGCACTGGCAGCTGCACGCGGATGTCCTGGCCGACAAAGCGCTCGGGCAGATCCGACCGGAGGCGCATCGAGATTTCGAGCATGTTTCTGTGGCCCGGGGGACAGGCGAGAGGAGCGGGAGGAGAAGAAGAAGAAGAGGAAGGCGGAGAAGAAGAAGAGGAAGGCGGAGAAGAAGAAGAGGAAGGCGGAGAAGAAGAAGAGGAAGGCGGAGAAGAAGAAGAAGAAGAAGAAGAAGAAGAGGAAGAAGAAGAAGAAGAGAGGGAAAAGGAAAAGACAGAGAAAAAGAAAAAGAGAGGGAAAAAGAAAAAGAGAGAGAGGTTAGGGAGGAAAACACAACAAAACGGAGGCAGCCGGTGACAAGATGCGCGCGCACGGCGTCTGGGGAGTCTCAATGTGAGAGAAAACCGTGAACGGGATCGACCCACCGGCGAGGTAGCCATTCTCAGTGGGCCGGTTGTCGCAGATGCGATAGTTCATGAGAGACAGCTCGCCAGTCGGGACCTCCAGACAGAGCATGTTGTTCTCCTCGAAGGCCTCGACATCGATCAGGTCGTGGAAAACCGCGTCGTCAAGAACCACGGTGTCTGAGAAGCACAGGCGCCGGGGGAGGGGAGGGGGGGGGGAGGACGAAGGCCAGGCGACCGGGGGGGATCGGACCCAGCGCATATCCGGTCAGTGGGGCCGCCACACACGACACAGCAGGTGACCGGGCGAAAGGACCAACGGCGACGCACGCGGGGAGGGCACAACCGCACTTGACGATGACCGCAGGGTGATCGGCGCCAGGCTGATGGCCAGCTCGATGCCAACCATGTAGGACTTGACCGTGACAACACCGTCCAGCTCGTACCGCAGGAGGTCGCCCTGGGCAGCAGGCGGGAGGGGGGGGGGAGGGGGCAAATACCAACATCACCGCGCAGCCGTGCATTCGCGAGGGGACGAGGACACGCGTGTCAGCGCGTCGCGCGGGCCCGAATAGAACGGGAGCACAGGGGGGGGAGAGAGGAGCAGGGGGATGGCTGTGCGCATGCATTTCCCAACGCCGGTGTCCAGGGCGGGGGGGGGGGGGAGGAAGGGGGACCGAACAGGCGCGGCGGTCTGGGTGATTAATTGTGGGCCTGGTGGGTGGGCGGGGTGGCGGCGGTGGCGGCGGCGGCGAGATACGATCGCGAGGTCAGTGTCATCCTCGGCATCCCCTGGGGGGCTGGGGCGCGACCGACGGGGCCGTCGGGGTGTCGCGCGGACAGAGAAAAAAGGACTCCCATTCAGCCGGTCTCTGAAGGGGGGGGGGGGGGGGGGGGGTTGTGGCCAGGACCAAGCCGCCGGGTGTTGGGGCCGTGAGGCGGGCCCCCAGCCGGGTGCGAGAGGGGGACGCGGACACTCGCGCCAAACGCACCAGGGTGATGGAGGGACGCACACCCGTCAGATAGCCCTCCCGCGATCTTGGTCTGTGTGTGTGTGTGTGTGTGTGTGTGTGTGCGGCACACCGCCGCCGGGGGCGCGCCTGCTGGCGTCTGCCGGCCTGGGCGACATATGCACATTTGTCCCTCCGGCCCGGCCGGCTTGCCGAGCCCCCGCCCCCCCCCTCCCCCCCCTCCCCCGGGGGGCGCATGGCGCTTATGTGGCGGAGTAGCGCGGTGATGGCGATACGGCCGGCGGTGATGGCGACGATGATGGCATGCCCCGGGTGTGTGGGTGCACATCTGCGGTGCCGACCACCGCCGCAGCTGGGGGACGAAAGTCCGGCCAGCGGTCCGAGAGCCGGAGGTCGTGCGCCTGCTCTCGGCCCCCCCTCTACGGCCCCTCGGCTGTCTGCGTGTGTGCGTGCGTACATGTGCGTGTGTGCGTGTGCAGGCGCGAGCGGACATGGCCTCAAGCCGATTGGTCGAGGTTGTGGGATTAACTATCTCGCGGCAGGATGGGGCCCCTCGGCGGCTCTCCTCGCGCCCCCCCCCCCTCCCAAAGGCAGAGTGCCAGGTCGCCCTTGGGCGTGAACCGCCTCGAGAAGGGGCGGTGCTCGGGCGAGGAAGAGGGGGGCTCCCGCCCGCCGGCAGGGAGGGCCCGGTCTGGCATCCTCCCCTGGGGAGGCCGCCGGACTCGGGCAGGGGGCGGGGGGTCAAGGGGGCGCGGATTAATTCATGCATCCTGGCCGCGGCGCCCGCGGCTCCGTGAGAAATGGCCTTCACCGGCGCGTCCGGAGCCCGGGGAGGGCGCGCGGCGCGGCCTCGGCGATCTTTGCATGCGCACACGCGTGCATCATGACGTTGCCGGTTAATCGCCCTGGCCGGCGGAGGCGGGAGAGGGTCCTGTGCGCGGGGGGGAAAAAAGGTGGCCCCTCCCCCCGCGCCCTTGCAGCCGGCCGGGAGGGGCCGAGCCTCCACGTATGGCGTGTCACAGGAACCTCCGTGGCGAAGCGTGAGGAAGAGCTCTCTCCCTCCCCAGCGAGGCGCGATGGATCTGCACCGGCGACCGCCCATGCGGTGGGGCAGGCCGGCCGGAGCTGGCCGCCCGCTCGGGGGCCCCCGGGGTGGCTGGAGTCGATCGCGCGCTCTTGCCCTGCCTGCGGAGAAGCAGGGGCACACGTCGGCGCCGACCCCCTTTCATCGGGGTGTGTGTGTGTGTGTGTGCGTGTGTGAGCATCTCGGCCGGAGGGACAGACAGAGAGCGGGAGAGAGGCCGGGAGCGGACCGACTGGCGCGTCTTGCTGTGCCGTTAATTTTGTGCCAGCCCTCCCCTTGCCCCGCCCGGACTGGGCCTCGTCAGCATGGGGAGGCCCAGGGGCTCGGGGGTGCATGCCCCCCCCCCCCCGGCGCTGGGCGTCCGCCCGCCGGTTCCCGGGCCGGCGTCCTGGCGGACCTGGGAGCTGGGCCACAACCCGGCTTGGCCGGTCCCGGCGGCCGCCCTCCGACCCCGAGGGAAAGGGCACCGAGGGAAAGGGCACCGACTCCCGTCGGCACAGGCTCCACCTGATGCCGGCCTCCCGGTGCCCGGCCTGGGCACTGGTGCGGCAGTGTGTCTCGCGCGCGCGCGCGCGCGCGAGGCCGCGCCGCGCCCCGGAGAGGGAGCCCCCGGCGTAGCGGCCACCGAGCCACGTCAGAGCAGCCGCCTGGCGGGCCGCCGGCCCGAACCCCCCTCGCCGGGCCGGGGGGCGCGCCGCCGCCCCAGGGGGCGATCTCCTGCGTGCCTCCGGGCGCGAGCTCCCGCCCTGTGTCCGGGGACGTGTGTATATGAAAGCGCGCACGCACGCGCGCCCAGGTGCGGCCTGCGTGCGGGGCACGGGGAGGAGGCCGGCTGGCGGGCCCGCCCCCGCGCCGCCCGCTCCCCGGCCCAAGCGCGCACACAGTACGGC